CTCCTGCCATTTGATATAAATAAATAAATAATTGGGAACAAGAAGTTGCACTAAGAATTTTCCAGCTAAGTTGATTTAGCTGTCTAGCACGTTTTTGGCATTATTGTGAATAACCATATAATGAGTTAATTAGTAGGACAGTTAGTCCAGATCAAACATGAAGTAAAATTTGTATGAGATACATCATAGACGAAAATACGTAATTGCTTTTAATTCGATATCTTTACAAATAACTTTGCCTTCCAATCCTTTTTAGAGTGGTAGCCGTTCGACTGAGAGCAGTGAAACTAGATGCTGGACGTCTAATCAACCCCCAGCGACATTTGTGAGGACCGCTCTTCTACAAAGAAATCCTGGAGAAGAGGGTTTCGGTTTTGTTCTCACCAATTCCAAGTCCTCGACTTCTAGACGTCCTGGTGATCACTGCATTGGTAAGCATTTGGAAATTGGGTCTTTCTTGATTAGCCAGTGGTCAGTAATGGTAATGGTAATGGCCAATCAGGATACAGGCTGATGCGTTAACACCATACTTGGAGTTTCGTGTGTTAAGTGAGTCCTTTTTAAAAAACGAAGTTACTCAAATTCGTAGGCTTCTATCTAAATTTGAATTTATTTTAAAATCAGAAAAAAACGGTAATCAATGTTTCCTTTCAGAATATCTATAAATTATAGCATTTGGACCATATCATTTTTTGGCGTTTCAATCCATGTCAAACTATTGACTTATTCCGTGTTGTTAACATTGTGGCCATTTAGGAGAAATCAGCATATATCAAACGCTTTCTCGGTGGAAATTAATATCCACTATTTAAACTGCGAATCCCCATATTAGTAAGATTGAGATTTGTTGAACTTTCGTTCACGCCATAATGGCGTATCCTTCATTAATCATCAGTGTTTTTTAGACAGTACAGTGCATTAGATTGCCCTCTGCTTGAAATGAGTAATAATTTGTTTGGGGCACCATGTATATACCCCACTCCTTATACGAGATCGCCGTCTTTATAATCCTTCATATATATATATATATATATATTAAAACCTTATAAATCTTTGCTTTGGTTCTAGCGCATTCCATTTTCTTATTCTACAACTCAGCCAATATTCATTCTGCTTTCAGTTTATAGGGACTGCGTTTCTTAAATCTGAATTCCGAAAATTGCATAGTCCGAAAGATATCGCTTAGAGACTATCTAAATCTGATAGTATCAACTGAATCGCAGGAGACAAGTAATTGAAACAAAAATAACTCGTTACATCGTAATATAATTTACCTCGTAGCGCAGAACTCACTTGTCAGAAGTAATTAGGCAAAAATCCCCTATTCTTGTTTAAATAAAGGACTCTTACCATTTTCTTTATGGTAATTCACATCCGTTATTATTTAACTTATAATTTCAACTTCTAGCTCGAGTGGTGCCCGGAAGTGCATCAGATCGATCGCGTCTACTGCATGTCGGTGACCGTCTGATTTCCGTGAATGGGGTCAATGTGACTAATTTACCTCGAGAAGAAGTTGTTCGTCTTGTCAAATCAAGCGGCTCCCAACTTGCACTCTCCTTCCTCTCTCATAGTGCCCGTATGTTGAATGCTCTCTGTGCTAGATGTATAGCAAAAATCCGCGGTTTTTTGGATCTGGAAGTTGGTTGTTAGGTTTTGAAGCTAAAAGGACCCAGACCGCAGGAACACTTAAAACGCATGCAATGTTTGTTTTGTTTATTAAGAAAATGGAATGGGTTTCATGTCAAATTCCTAACCTTCTATCTGCCAATAATCTTCAACAATTGGTTTAGATGTGAGCGCAGATTTCCAATAATCAATAGTTTACTGCACGAGGAATTCGCTCAAGGGTGTAGAAAAAATAATATGTTGTGCGCCTTAACGACTTGGAAGTTTATCAAACACTTCCTCTCTCTCTCTTGAAGTTGATGACAAAATGAAAACAACAAAAAGACTTCAATTCTTCCAACCCATCGAGTCAACTGAATTAACTTGGCAGAGGAGTGTCCAACGTAGGTTTTACTAAAATTAGCAGATTTAAGGAAAACAAGTAAATCGCATGAAATTATCTCCATATATTTACAGACCGGCTAGAACTGAATTTGCTGACACCTCTTCACCTTCTTCTAATTGCCTATAGGATCCCAAGTATACATAGTGCTAACTACATTTGAGTCGGATGTTTATGGGTATCTCAATGTTTTCAGTAGTTTACTCGTTGTCATGACAACAATTAGGAGTCATGTTCCAAGTCTTTTCCTCTATATAGATTTTTTCTAACATGCGCGTTTTTTCCCACGTGTTTTACAGCCGTAATGCCCTCCTATGAGCAGATGCAGTTCTACAGCAGCCAATTCTTTCCTAATCAACAACGACAACAGCATCAACATCATCATCAGAAGGCTCGAGCAATTTTCTTCCAAGTCACTCTCTTCCGATCCAGTCGTGGATTCGGTTTCTCCATTCGTGGAGGTCACGAGTTCAATCAAATGCCGCTCGCTGTACTACGAGTGGCTGAGGGTGGACCTGCATATCTGGATGGCCGATTAAAGGTTGGCTTTATATTTAAAAAAATCTATAAATAGTGTGAAATAGTTTATTTTATTTATTTCAAATGGCAGGCGTTTTGATAGTTATCATTAGCCCTTTAGTTGACTTATGGGCTTCACAGAGGGGAGGAGGAACACCAAAGTGAGAAAAATACGAGTGAGGGGAAAGAAGAGTGATTCATAGATGTAGACGAGACAGACAGAAACAAACGCAGAGAATAGGTAAGATGAGTACTGCGGAAGTGGTGGTATATGACATACAGTGAGGTCATGGTAGTTTGAAGTCTGAAGTCAACTGTCGGTTAATAGACTTTTTCGCCGTATGAGTATACGTTGCCCAGGTTACACCACGTGGAGGTAAGTCTATCGCGCACCCCTACTAGTGTTAAATGGGGTTAGAATGTAATTTACCGATCGAATAATGTTTATTCTCGAATTTATTTTTTCTCTCATATTGATACGAAGATTGCGAGTTTTCATATCTTAAATTAATTCATTCATTTGTTTGTCATGTTAAACTAAAGTGACTTATAATTAAATTGAATATTTAATTTCCTAATGCATTTGTTTTTCAATGAATTGACGAAAACAAATATTATTATCTAATTATGCAACTTGATGGCTTCTCTGTTTTGGCACAGTTGTCATTTTACGATGTGAAGAGTCCTAATTAGGTTAAATTCAGTGGACCCTGAAAAAACAAACCCTACTTCCCTAGGGCACTGAATTATCAATAATTATCTCTCTCTCTCTCTCTACGCTCTTGTCTGGGAAGGTATTTATTTATTTATATCAAATGGCAGGCATCTTGATGGTTGTCATTAGCCCTTTAGTTGACTTCTGGGCTTCATAGAGAGGAGGTGGAACATCAATGTGACAAAAAAGTCGATAGGGAGGAGGACAGAAGTGTTTCAAAGACAAAGGTAGAAAAGGTAGAAAAAATCTGAGGTGAGTACTTGGGAAGTAGTCGAATATGACATAGAGTGAGGTGATGGTAGTCTGAAGTGAGAAGTCAACTGCCGGTTAATAGACTTTTTTGCCGTATGAGTATACGTTGCCCGGGATGCACCACGTGGAGGAAAGTCTATCGCACACCCCATATTGTGAAATATCTTTTGCCGAAGTAACTGGTGCAGTTATTTGCTGCATTATCAAGAAACATTGTACTTGAAATGTCAAATTAATGAATAGGTTGTGCTTCGATCGCGCATAGGTCTCCGTGGACATGTGTCAAACCAGAGTTGGTGAGTTTAGTTCCCACCGGCGAAAGAAATTTTCAATCGCATTGGAAATGGAGAATTCGAAACTCTCACCTGAGGGACTCCCTATTGCCACTTTTTTAAATGGCATTTCTAGTTATTTTATTAAATAATTAATTTCATTTTCTAAATACATAATAGATGGCGATTCATAAAAAGTGTGCTGTAAAATAATTAATGTCAATAGTAAATTTCATTTTGTTACTTTGGAGTTGAATACTATTACAATTAATATTTATAAAGATACTACATGCTCTAATTCAGGTTGAATTCACTGTGAAGAGCTCAAACACTAGTGGTTCCTTCAAAGTGAAGGAGCTCAATTCGACACAGTCGGTAGAAGACGCTCGTATTTTAATAATTACGCCTAAAGATGGCGAAGCAGGAGCCATCTGCCCGGACCATTTCACCACCATGGACGCCATTGTCGCTTGCAAACAAACTAATTTCGGGATTGGTGGACGCATCGTTGAAGTAAGCACTTACCAATAAAATCAAACTATTTTTCCTAAATCTACTATAATAAGTGTCCCCCCCCCCCCCTCACCCACCACTCCCCGCCCC